TCTATCTATCTATCTATCTATCTATCTATCTATCTATCTATCTATCTATCTATCTATCTATCTATCATCTATCTATCTATCTTTTTTGCACCCACCCTATTATTCATGGCCACAGCTGCTATGGATTTAGGCTTAATGAAGTGATGGAGAAATGGACTCTTCTGAGGACAACAGTAGATAAGCTCAAGTCCCAATAGCAGCTGTATAGCTGCCAATCTGCTTGGTAAATAATTGCTGTTTTAAAAAAACTTTGCTGCAGGGAAGTGAAAGTAAATGTGGGTGAGTTGTAGTTAGAGATCAGACTTGGACCAATATACGGAGCACTTTATTCTGCATTCTGGTAAAGGAAAGAGGGGTGTGCTGTGTGTTTGAGCATGTGCTGCTGTGTTTTACACACTAGTGTGCCTAAAGTTGCTGAAGCTGTACAAAGACTACTAACATGGTGTTGATCTGGTTAATTGATTTAGCTTATGTTAAAAGTACATTGTGCGTGCTTTGTTGATGATGAGCTTTGTGGTGCATTTATAAATATCAAGACCTGTTTCGCATCCTTTAATAAGCCTTTGTTCTGTTGCTTGGTGTGTGTTGCTCTTCACTCAGTAATTGCTGCTGGCCTAGATCTGGTTATATAGTGTGCAAACATTTTTGTCCTGATCAAAATTCTTTTTTAGATGATTTTGATCTACTGGAGCATTACTGTTGTATCAAAATCATCATATTCTATATATATTTATGAAAGTGTCATTATAAGCAGCCAGCAGCAGTGCTTATCTTTAATAACTGTTGAAAGCAGAAGAACAACAGATCCCATAGGAACGGAAACATAGTAAATTAAACTCAGATCTGTCTTCCTTTGACCGGATACTGCTGGCTTAGCTGGCTTCTCTATTCTCCAGGCTAAAGTGTTCCTAGTCAAGAAGCTTGATTACACAAATCCACTTTCACTTGGGGTTTTCCCCCTTACTGCAGCATGAATATGCCCTGGTAACATTTTTTTTTTGCCATATCTTTCATCTTATCCCCAGCCCATACTTGAAAAAGCTTACAGTTATCTTTGGCTGTTCCAGTTTTAAAGTAGGAATTTCCCAATTGTCTAGATATAGTTTTTATTAGGGATAAAACCTACAGCCAGTAAACTAGATGCAATGGTGATTGAAAACTATATCCAGTAAATGGAATGTAATTGCTCATTTAGTTGTGGTTTATTATCTCAGGCCTTTATAGCCCATTTAGGGACCTTCAGGGATATTCCTTCCCCTCTGGTTGCGGGGAACTGTTCTTTATGGTATTTGTGACTTGAGCTGCAGGAGAGACCAGGCAACTATTTATTTATTTTATTTTATTTTATTTATTTGATTTATTTGATTTGCCAATTGTTTACAAGATAATAAGTATAAGTGTATACATAGTTGTGAATACATGAAATGGGTACATATAAGAAAAATAAAAGAAGAATAAGAGAAACAATAGGACAGGGACGGTAGGCACGTTGGTGCGCTTATGCACGCCCCCTACAGACCTCTTAGGAAAGGGGTGAGGTCAATAGTAGACAGTCTAAGGTTAAAGTTTTTGGGGTTTAGCTTCTTCAAAAGCATCAGTTTACATAATACCCAACCAATGCATTTGAAAATGCTCTTCAGGCCCTGTTTGGATTCCTGAGAGACACAGATCTGTTTGTTGTTGTATTTTATGTAGGTGTAATGGTCTTTATGTAAATTCTGGTTATCTGCTGCACAAAGGGTTGATTAAACCAAGGAAGAATCACCTGCATGGGCTGGCTCACATTGCTAGTTCTTCCATCATTGACAGCATTTCATGTTTTTCAAGCTATACATTTTATTGTTGTTGTTTTTTTACTTTGGTGCAGGAACAGTGCCTTTGGCTATTTCATTATGGCATTGGCTTTATTTGGTAAGGATACAATGGTTATGATGTTGTTACTGCACATCAGCCAATCACAATAATGTGTTTTTCATGGCTCTACACTGGCTTCCTCTGGTGCCATGAGCTGTCAGGCCAGGACTGGACTCCTTGGTCACTCACTACATTGCCCTTCTCTTGAAACACTAGTTGAGGACAGAATTCACTCATTATCATCACCTCCTGTGACCTGATAGTTTGCTGGTTGGTTGGTTGATTAGACTTGCTTGCTACCCATCTTGCCTAGAAGCAATTCTGAGTAACTTATGAACACTAAACATTGATACAACATTGAACAATCAAAATGCACAATAATAATTTACAATTAAAAAGATGGGGAGGAGGGGAGCAGGATGTGCATGGGAGAGTTGGGGGCATGTCTTAATCCATTGGCCATCTCCAATATCATGCATGCTGGTGGAGCCCCAGGCCAATTGGCAGAGGCAGGTCTTCAGGCCCCTAGGAAAGTTAGGAAGATGGGTGTGGATCTTGATTTATTTTTGGACATGTAATTAGCTTGTATTCACAAGATGAGGGATTACAACAAAGAGGCACATCAGAAGTTCTCCATCCCACAAATTGCCCCACTCTTGCATTATATTTGTTGGACAGCTAGACAATAGCTATACCTGCCATTCTAAGTTCTTACCTATACTTCTCCAAAGCTGCCCTTCTCGTACAGGATCTTCTCTATGGTTGCCCTTACTTTGGGGTGCTCTCTTCCATTGAAATAAGTGCAGCCTCTAATTTGTCAGCATTTCATAAACAAATTAAATCTATACTGTTTCAGGGAGTCCTGAGCACCAGCTTTTTAATGAGGACACTAATTTGCTATTTGTGCTTTCAGTGTTATATTTCTGACATACACAACCACAGATCTTTAGGATTGGGAAGTAAGAAAACCCAAATAAATAAATACATGCAAGAATGATTGATGGCTGATTTCCCATCAGCAGGCGAAATGGAAGAGTAAATAAAATCAGAATCTGTATTAATCCTTTTCTTTAACTTGCTCTCAATAGGCTAATGAGAACAGTAGCTTTTGTCAGTCCAGTTCCAGTTTTAAAATAGGGATTAGCCATGGGGATCATGGATTACACCAATACTTTTCTTTCAGTTCAAAGACTAGTGGATAAAAATTTAATACAGCCATCTGGATCAACTCTTTGTCCAAAAAACTGATGGCTGCCATATGTTTATGTTTGCTTTATTGTTGGATTGCCATCTTGTGATTATTTTGCAGTTGTTTCGGTTAATTTTTTTATATGTTGTTTCTATTTTTGTAAGCATCTTAGAGTGAGAGGAAAGGGGGAGGGAGGGGGGGAGGGAGGGAGGGAAGGAAGGAAGGAAGGATTTTAGAAGAAATGTGTTCTATTTTGTGAGATCCAAATCTATTTTGTTTGATATGTCATACAAATTGAATGTACTCAATGTATGATATATTTATTTTATTTTATTTATTTATTTTATTTGGTTTGTCAGTCTTACAAGATAATAGGTATAAGTAAAAACATAGTTATGAATACATGGATACACATAAGAAAAATAAAAGAAACAATAGGACAGGGATGGTTGATGTGCTTATGAACACCCCCTACAGACCTCTTAGGAAAGGGGTGAGGTCAATAGTAGAAATAGTAGAAATTGATGAAGAGATTACAATGCTGGCATAGAAACCAGGAGTCTAGTTCTAGTCTAATTATATTTCTTATCAATATGAGTTATTCAATTTTCCATAAGATTTTTTTTTATTCTATAAAAGGGGGTGAAATCCACAAGAAAACTAAAGCATTATGAGGAATTGAAGGGTATCATATATGGATACCTCTCACAAAGCTTCAATCAGGATGACTACATGTGAATGTGTCTTTCATTTGAAGACAGTTCTACCAGTCTCTGATGCCTGGGGATTTACACATTTATGTTGTTTTAGAACCAGCTGCAGATCTGTATAGTCACAAAACGCTATGTAAGACTGTTTGCTTCCAGAGCCAAGCTAGGTATTCTTGTCAATGCTTTGGACATACATTTTTCCAATGAGAACTTTATTTTCTTGGATTCATAACAACATAAATTCTCTCATATTCCATACAGCTTCAGTATCCTGTTACTGTTTCAATCCATTTCAGTAGGGATTGTTTAGCTTTTATCTCTCCTTTTCTCAACACAACAACGTGCAATTCCAGTTGCAGTATTGAGGAAGTGCCTATTGAGAATCAATAATACATGCTATCTTTTCATTATCACACCTCTTTGGAGCTATTGAATACAGGGAAACAAAGGTGGCTTGATGACTTTGTGGCTCACCCTACATAATGTTATGCGGAAATGAATTTGGGCATCAGGGGAAAGAGCCATAGCTAGATAAATGATTCGGTAAGAGGCAGCTTAGCCCACAAAAGGGATGTTTTCTTGGGCTGCAAAGGGAGGAATTTACTATCAGACTTGCAAGATTCTATTAACTAATCCTACAATAAATTAGAATTAGTCCATCTAGTCATGCTTCCTGTCTGGATTATCTTGCTAGGCTGCCATCCTAAGTCAAAAGTGGTTAGATGTTCTGACAAACTGAAAAATGCACCTATATCTGGTATGTATGGAAAAAGTGGGAGTGGGAGTATTAACATGTTTCTTTTTATATGGAGTGGGTGATAGAGGACTTGTTATACAGAAACTATGGCAGCATACGTGCTGACTGAATGCCATTTTGCACTCTCCTGTCACATAGCTGGAACATTAATTACTTTATGGTGATTTCTGCATTTTCTCAACATTTTGAAGTTGGCAGCTGTGAACATAACCAAAATCAAGTTCAAAATGCATTGGAGGGGCTGGAGGATAAATGGAAGACGTTGTAGTTTAAAGGTATCTTAATATTAGTGCTCCCCACTGAGATGGTACAGGGTGGAGCACCCAAACATTTCCATCCTTAAAATCCCCCTCTGTGTTTGTATGTTTGTATCTGGAGACAGCACAAACACAGCTTCATCTCACCTCAGCTGAATTAGAAAAAGAAAAAGAAAATACAAAGAATTATCCCATTCAGTGTTGAACTCAGGGGTTTCAGGCTGTGTCAAATGTGTCTTTTCATTTAGTGATTCATTTGATAGAGAGACTTCTGCCCTGTGATATATTGTGCCAAAACATATCTGTGATACCACAGTACTCCTTTTTGGTTAGCAGGCTGCTGACATGTGATGCTTGCACATTTCATCCTTACTGAGTGCTTCACAAAAATGCCTTAAACACCTGTTAGCATGAAAACACCCAGTCATCCACTGAACCCTTATGAAAGCTTGGGAACCTGCTTTACTAATGACTTCTATTTTTCAGTTCTCTATTTTTTATATTGATGGAAATGTCATTTTTTTTTGTTTTTATATGAATGATTATTTTTCATTTGAAAATAAAATATCTGGAAACAGAATTGTAAAGCAAAGGTGTTGGGGAAATCCTAAGCAAAAAGAGTTTCTAAAATAATCCTTTTGGGTTGAAAAATTCTGCAAACCCTTTAACATTTTTTTTAGTTCACTTACCTATTTTAATTCCATGGCCCATAATGTTGTAAAAAGTGTTATTTTCAATCTTGAAACCCGATATTCCTGATAGGCTAACTCCTTGAGCAAAAGAATCCAGTACAACACAATGTTGCATGTAAGAGTCTAAAAAAGCAAAAAAATAAATAGACTTAGATACAGACCAGCAAAACTGGAAAATGATGTTAAAACATACTGATACTGAAATCATACTGGGAATGATTAGTATAGTGATGATGAAAACAGAGGAATATTTATTAGCTGCCAGAATTTGGGATGGGGGGAGGAAGCAATGACACTTTCATAACTTTTTCCAAACTTTTCCTATATAGAATTGAAATAAACATCTCAATTGGCAAGTAGAATTTATATGTCCAGAACTTTTCTAGAAGTAATCATCCTCAGTGGTATTTTGATTGCACCCCGATGCAAAATAAATTAAAAATCCTGTTAAGAAAACATTTAAAGTAACATACACAATTGCCTCTAGAAATTAAAATGTCTTACTAGTCATTTGAGCATTTCCAACCACAGTCAGTGCACTGAAATGCTTTTGGAATGCTTGTCCTACGTGATAGAACTGTACCCCTGCCAAATGTAGCACACTCTCTTCATCATAATAGGATTCCACAATGACAATAGCCCCCATGTCCCGAGACCCAGGTTTTCTCTCACTTCTCTTATAGAAGCACTTTGAGTTATCTGAAAAGTAGCAAGGGAGGTAGAAATTATTCAGAAGTAGGACTGAGATTATTCAAACATCCCAGAGAAGAGATGAGAATTTCAGCAAACCACAAAGGAAATATGCAATCATCAGACTTGAAGTAATACTTAATAGGAACGGCAATCATTGTATGATATCCTTTAAGACAGAGGTTCCCAACCTCTGGGCCATGGACCAGTACCACTCCATGGCCTATTAGGTACTGGGCCACACAGCTCAGGTGAGCAGCGGGCAAGCAAGCAAAACCAAAACAGCAACCTGTCTATGGAAAAACTGTTTTCCATTAAACTAGTCCATGGTGCTGTGGCAAAAGGCTGTTTTAAGCAACGTTTTTAGACAGTCTCTTGTATCAGTGTTACTGTTACTCACTCATAAAAGCATTAAATGTAGAAAGAAAATCACATCTCATCTACTGCAAAACGTATTTCAGCTATAAGAATCCAATAGACTGTTTAATGTACTCCGCATATGTCTCAAAAATTTACATAAACATAAATTATTCCCTTCTTGATTAAAGAGTACCTTGTAAAACAGCAAATCCACTGTTCATATATATTAACATTCTCTTCCACCGTCTTTGAAATGAGCTCTTATTTAAATAGTGTTTCATTTTTTTCTGCATGTTGATTCATATTTCTTACAATATCTCAAAATACTTTTTAAAATATTCTTTCCCTCTAAAACTGGGGAAGAAGGGGTGTGTGCATGAATAGGACATTAATCTAAAGTACAAAATTATATTCTGAAAATGCCTACTACATTTCATTGCTCCATCACTTCCCATTTGAAGCAAACAGAAAATGCCTCAGTTCAATCTGCTTAATATTTCAATATTTCAACTGAAAAGAGGATTTTGGGGAGGTGGGGAGCCTGCATAAGAAGTAAACTGGGAAAGGTCTTTGAAATAGTGATAAAAACCTAGGAAGTTAAAAACTACAATGTTCTGCTCCCTTATTTACTGCCATTGCGCATGGGTGTTCTTCCTCACTCACCTCCTGAAATAGCTGCCGCTTTACAGAGTCGCAGATGGGAAACTTTTTCACTTGTGACATTTCCTTGGATGACTAGATTCCTACTCAGCAATGCCACAACAGCTCTAAAAGCAAGATGCTCTTCAACAACCTGCTTCTCAGTAACAGTGTAAGAATACCTATGGGATACATAACAATAAATACTGCTAGTTCTACCAAATTGTGTCAACGATTCCATCCATTTTAAAATGCCAGAAATAAGCTGAATTGAAGGCAGAATTTAGCCTTAATACAGGGCTGTCAAACTCCCGACCCATGGGCCAGATGACTCATGCACTGGCCATGCCCACTCCCGGTTTAGCAAAGGGGAAAAATGTCCCGATACATCACATGATGCTGCCATGAGGATGTGAGTTTGACACCCCTGCCTTAATACATCCTCTATCATCAGCACTGGTTCCCCTTTCTGTGATGAGTACTTAATCAGCACACACCTGCAGTTGTCTGTATATGTCACAGTTCCAGCTGAAATATAATTGTAGCAATGCAGACCCACAATTGTATGAATTTCATCCCATGAGCCTTGCCAACGCAACACTGCCAACTCAGGCATGATTACCTTAGTGGAGATGTAATGTAGAGTTCTGTACCATTTATTTCCTTAATGGTAAGAATTTCCTTTTGCTTTTGAGCACCTTCAAAACTTCCTCCGCATACAACAACTTCATCTCCAGGTTTCCAATCCACAAAGTCCATTAAGTCCAATTTTGTGTCATTAGAGTATGCTGCTGATTTCAAATATGTGACTAATGATTTTGGGACACAGCCTGAAATATTAAATAAGATTCACATATGAGGAAAAAGGATGACATTTTTTTAATGAATATTAAGCACAGCCACAGCCGCAATCAAATCTGTAGTGTTTAAAAACAAAATGAGAATAATGTATGGATTAAGAACTCACCTTTTTCTCATTCTTAAGTTTTTAATATAATACTGTCATCTTGCTAGTACTTATAGGTGAAAAATAGTAAACATTTTCATTATGTAATTTTTCATTTCATTAAAGTGGAATGAAAAATTGATGTTTTATAAAGTCCCAGGGAAGAACAGGGGTTACAACCTTGACAATACTTTTTATCAAAAAAGAGCTATAGTCTGCAAATCAAAGTAAGGGCATTAACTAAGCCCTGTAAAACATCCCCAACATAATATAATGCTCTGGAGAAAATGTTAAGTCAATCCTAATACAAGGACTGTCACAACAACATCCGGTTTGAATTCCATAACTAAAAATGTTTGGCCAACCAATTATTTTCTTGCATTGTCTCCAAAATCTAGAACATACAATTAAAAATATTTTTCTTTTTTTTCAGCTCAGAGAAGAAAATAATATCTCCTGTGATGCTGGCCCTACTGATGTGCTATTCCCAGTAGCACACAGGCAATGTGAAGATTGCTTTTAACAATACTTCCAGTGGCAAAATGAATAGCATATATTCACAACAGAAGCCTGACTAAATTCCAGCAGGAATGATTTCCATATGTACAGCATGCAATAAGGAAAATACAAACATTAATACTATGCTCCATCCATCCATCCATCCATCCATCCATCCATCCATCCATCCATCC